AGTGGGGGGAGCAGGGGGAAGGAATGAATCAGCCTGCGGGGAGTGGGACTGACCTGGCCATATGTAGATCTTGGGATGCTGCCCCTGTCCCCCCCTCCCTCCCACAAAGCACAAGTTAGTCCGGCCCGGGGATTCTATGGTCCCCCCACACACACTCCCCCTCGAGTAGCTGCGAACTGTCTGGCTAGTAGACACGCTCACGCCGCCTGAGCATATCTACCAGTCAGGCAGTTTGCAACTACAAGCTGATACACCGAATAATAATAAAAGTTACTTAATGAGAAAAGTCCCCCCCTCCCTCCCACAAAGCACAAGTTAGTCCGGCCCGGGGATTCTATGGTCCCCCCACACACACTCCCCCTCGAGTAGCTGCGAACTGTCTGGCTAGTAGACACGCTCACGCCGCCTGAGCATATCTACCAGTCAGGCAGTTTGCAACTACAAGCTGATACACCGAATAATAATAAAAGTTACTTAATGAGAAAAATACCAGGCATTTTATATGTCCGGTATTTTCTCAATTGGTTTCCCAGACAGAGGCCTCAAATACCGGACTGTCCAGTACAAAACCGGACATCTGGCAACCCTGCCCCTCCCTGCACCCTCCTTCCCAATCTGCTCCTGCTCCCTGGAGTGCCTGTGCGGCATCGGGTCCCCCAAGTCCTGGCCTGGGCTGGGCTGGGCAGAGGATGCAGCCGAGTGAAACAGTGAAAATGTAATTAATTTTTCATTTTTTTTTAAATATGCGTTATATTTTTGGGCTGCAAAAAACAGTACTGGAAAAAAGAGGGGGGGTTCCAACTAAAGTAAAAAGTTTGGGAAACCCTGGTCTAAGCCAGCTTTCTATCACTCTTACAGTCCATTTATCCAATCCATATTCCCTTAACTTGCTTGGCAAGAATATTGCGGGTGACCGTATCAAAAGCTTTGCTAAAGCTGGCACTGGGGGTTTTGGGAGGACCAGAAACAACGTATTTGCATATTCATCATTTTCTTAATGCATATGCAAATAAATATGACTGTTCTCCAAAAGCTCGTGAATGGATTTACTGGTCTGTGTGTCAAAAAGTTTGGGAACCCCTGTGTTCGACCATATCATTTTGTCCTCTATTATGATTGTGTGCATTAACATCACCCAAACAGTATGAACAGAAGATAGAACCCCCCCAAATTTTGCCTTATGTACTTGTTCGTGCATCCACACCACAATTTACAGTTACGTAACATACATACACAAACCCCAATTGCCATGCCTCATTTATGCACACACTCCTTTAAACATTTGCTTCTTGCTTTCTTGAAAAAGTTCTTAAGACAACCATTGTTTCCACCACCTATACATTAGATAACTAAACAACAATTTTCATAAGCTCTGAAGGAAGCGTATCTACTCCTTTCAGCAATAAAATAATGGCTGTTATGTGGCAAACAGATGGGAATTCTCAGGCTCAAGAAACAGATCTAAAGAACATTTAGGGTTCTCTTCGGCTACATCCTCCCATCCTTAACTCAGCCCAGCGCTAAGGATTCCATCTACTCAAAGCACCAAACACTATTCTTTTAGCAGACAACATAGGAGGGAATTCCTTCCAAATGCATCAAGAGCCAGTTCCTTGTGCCAAATTAATGTAAAAAACCCAATAAAGAACAAGTGGATGCAAGAACACCCCCATTTTGAATGATTGCCTAAGAGAGTTTGAACTCTCCGTTGCACAAGTCAAAAGATTAAACTTGGACTATACCTTCTGTACATTGAAACCTCCCTTCCCAAAGGGAAATATTCCAAATAATTTGCAGCATCAGCCAAATTAGCAGACCTAGAGCATTTTAAATCTAATTACATTACCACTAAAGACAGTTAATTGGTTCCCAGGAGTCTGTGCTTAATTAAGCCTCAAATCTTGCTACAAACAGATGTTGAGAAAATGTTGTTTTTTGTGTGACACACTTATGAACCACATGATGATTACCTGTAGTTCTTGCAAAATTGAGGCAGCTTCTTTCACGTCACCATTCTGTTCTTTTATTGTTGCAAGTGTCTTTGTAAGACGAGCACGCTCAATTTCCACGTAGATCTGGAATTAAAATTAAATCCAACATTTACTTACTCTACCACATAAAAATTATTTTACATCTAAGGCTATGAATATACACATTTGAATAACTTCACACTCCTGCATAGTCTCATTTAAATCTCTCTACTATACCTGAAATGAGTAAAGCATTGTGTTACATCTCCTTTAGGAAATGTTTCCACGGACGTTTCCACTGCACTATAGTAAGAATTTATTATTTATAAAAGCAAATATTAAGCTCAAGAATCGTGCATAATCTATATTTAAAACCCTAAATTACAACAAGGAAACACTTATTTTTAATATTTCATTAGTGAATCTACTGTTTACGATAGGTGTGGTAGCCCTGGAAATATTCAGATGAGACAGCAAGGGCAGCAGCACTGCAAAGCCCTCTCTGGTACAGATTCTCAAACCTGATCTAGAAGGACAGCACCTAGGAATAAGATAGTTCATTCACCTCTCTACCAAGATTTTCAATGAAGTAGACAATGATGGTTCATTTTGTCATGGGAACTGTTGGTTACCACAAACTGGATGGAGGCCATCTCCGTTTACAAACACTTCCAACCAGCCTTCAGTTAACAATTTTTGGTTACCTGGGCTTGATCTGAACTGGTAAAAGGCAAATAAACACAGACATGGCTCAACAGAAAGTACATATTGTCAGAGTAACCCGAAGGATAACTCAGTATTCTATGGAACACTTTCTATTTTGTTAATTCTCTATCATACCTAATAAGAGTAATACATATATAACACAACTTTATAAATATACAATGTAACATCACACCATCTGAAAACAGGTGCAAGTTTTCCTATAGTAACTACTTAGGCTCTTCCAGACCATCTGGCACACTATTATCATCGTCAACGCCTTGACAAAAGGGCAACAAGACCAAAGGTAGTAACTGTTCAGCTATTATACTGTTGTCGGTCCCAGGAAAGACTGTTTCCATGTTAATGTCTTGAATCACTGATGCACTTCACAGCAAGGGCAATGCGGTTCTCTAACTGATCATTCCACTAACGACCAGATCTTTACTTTGAGACAGCTTTTTGAGAGGAGCTCTGAATTTAAAAGTCATCTGAAGCACTTTTTTTTTTTAAAAAACAAATTTCTTTCATACCATTTTTTCAGCGTATTGCATAATGCTTGGGAGCTATAAGGCAGCCTGACGTCCCTAAAAAGATAGTGTCATTGATAAAGGAACAAAAAGCTCAGTTCAAGTTAATGGTAGATACACAGCATAGGTACCTATATCTAGATGTTTGGCAAGGCTGTATCCTGTCAGCATAGACTGGTTGATGGATAAAACTGAAGGAACAGCTGATGGTAGTGTTTGGCTGAACACTGATTTGCTTCAAGACTTTAAATATGCCAATGACGTTGTCTTGATGGCTCATTTTGGTCAAGCACTGGAACTGACGGCCAACCTAGCTGTTCAAGAAGCAGCATATGCTGGTTTGGTTATTGGTCCAGACAAAATTAAGTCTCCTAACTAATACCATCATGTAGGCTCCTACTCTAGATTTCAACAAGCTCAGTATTAACCGGGCGGGATATCATACAGGTGGCAACGGTCAATTCTTGGGAAAGCATTAGACCGGGATGGGGGTTTGGAAACAACAGCTGTCCCTGCCACATTCCATACTTTTCAGTAGCCTCTGGGGAGATGTTGTGACATCAAGCTTTCTACAAAGTTGCAGATGTACACAGGCCCTAGTTATACCAACTTTATTGTACAGCAGTGAACTGTGAGCGATGGTAATGCTGAAGAATAGCGAATTGATGTTTTTAATTCTCCTCAGCAGCTGCTATGTATTACTCATCTAGTCCTGCCATGTAATGAGGATAGTCACAGTTGACTCAGCAACCAACTCCATCAGCAAGGGTTCGGTAGTGGTGGCTGTGGTGAGGCGGCTGCCCCATACAGAAAATAGGGGAATTAAAGCAGCGCTCAGAGAGGCTGCACAATCCCAACCAACAGGAAGAGGGCTTATTAAGGCAGCCAATGAAGAGGCTTGTAAGAATAGCCAAGCAGGGCAGGGAGGGCCACATTAAAAAGCAGAAAAAGGAGAGTCTCTCTGGAGTGCAAGAGAGGAGAACTGGTTGCTGGAAGGAGTACCCTCAGATAAAGCAGTGCTGGGCAAAGTCAGGGGAGCAAGAGGGAGATCCACCCTGAGGATTGTCAGACTGACACCCCCCAACACAAAGGTCTGGGGGCTATGGGACCAGACAGAGGGGGCTGCTGGAGAAACAGCTGCTGCCTAGAGGGTCCCTGGGTCAGGACCTGCAATAGCGGAGGATTTGAGTTGTATCTCACTTGAAGTCTGGATTGGTCACTCTCCTCTTTGGCAAGTGGCCACTAAGGCAAGTGGCAGGACTAGGGACTGCTAGTTCCTTGGAAGGGGGAGATAATGGAGTTTTGCAGTCAGCAGTCCATGCCCAGAAGCATACATCATGGTCCAAGCAGTGACCCAGGTCTCAGAGGCATGGGGATTGCAAAAGTGAGGGCGGCAAGACACCAGAAAGCTAATGCCCAGAACAGCCAGCAAGAGGTACTATGGTGGTGAGTCCCACCTAGTTACAGTGGCTTTCTTGGTACAGACACATTAGGAAAAAAACCCTCAAGTTACAAAGCTTGTTTAGCAAGGAATGGTTGCATGAAGGATCTGGGTGATCCTAGCAAAGAGGAACAAATTTCTTCCTAAAAGACAAGCAATTGCACTTGAGGTACCAGAGCTTTGCAAACTGGGATGAAACAACCTATGGATTTGGAATAATTTGCTGAGTTTGATTATTATACAGCATTCTCAATTAGTTATGAGAATTTTGTCTCTGTTAACACGATCTGCCACCCTCAGCATAGTGGCAGTACTTACAACTAAAACACTTGTTAATGTATTAATTTGATCTGGATGCCCTAGGACTGCCAGAAGCACAGAACAATTGGGAAATGCTGCATAAACTCTTTAAGCTTAGTCCACTATCTATGCTGTACTAATGAAGAGGATTTTCACCAACCTGGAGTTTTTTTGTGAAAACATGGAAAGGGATGTTATCACAGCTGGATCTGGTGTCTCCACTATCTCTAATGTAAGTCACTTACCTTTTTGTATTGTTTGATTTTGATGAATGAATCTAATTTTCATAAAGAGACTCTTGCTGTCAGCAAGCTTATTATCACCAAAAACTTCAGAGGTACAATAATATTGCCATTGATAGAAAGATAAGACAGCCAGCAAAATTAAGAACCCAAGCCAGAGATCTATGTCTAGACTACATCCTTTTTTTGATAAAGGGATGTAAGTTAGACATATCGATAATGCAAATGAAGCAGAGATTTGAATTTCCCGCGCTTCATTTGCATAATGGCAGCTGCTGCTTTTTTCCCCAAAACGGGGCTTTCAGGGAAAAAAAACAAAACGACAGTTTAGACGGGGACCTTTCGAAAACAAAACCCTTTTTCGAAAGATCTTGTAAACCTCATTTTTTGAGTACAGGATCTTTCAAAACAGAGTTTATGTTCGAAAGATCCCCATCTAAACTGACTTTTTTCCCCCTTGAAAGCGGCAGCAGCTGCCATTATGCAAATGAAGCACAGGAAATTTAAATCCCTGCTTCATTTGCAATATTGATATGTCTAATTCACAACCCTTTATCGAAAAAGGGATGTAGTCTAGACATAGCTTCCTTTCACATTGGGTATGTCCCTTTCAAATTTGTCATGATGATGATATATACACAACTTTAAGTCTTACAGTCAACCTTAAGTACTGGAAATAAATCTTAAAGATATTGTTGAGTCCAGTGGTAGTCAGCATTTGCGTATTTTAAAACACAAATTTTACAAAACTTGAAGGTCAACAGAACTATTTCCATGATTTGGTTTTTGTTCTTTTTTACTTCCTCCAGCAAGATTTTAAACAAAAAAAAAAAAAAAATCAAGTTCAGTGTTTGGAACAAGCATTCAACACTATGCTCATCCTCTAGACTCAAGAAGGGAATAAGGATGTGGACAACTAGTCACTTAACCTTCCCTCTTGCTGCCTCTATCAGAAAAAGGCAGCAAAGGGGGGAGAGGGTGCTTCAAAGTGGCAGTGCCGTGTGGCGCCCAGGGTTAGCTGGGAATGCTCTTGCTGACCCCAGGCTCCATGTGGCGCTGTTGCTTTGAAATGCCACTGGAGCACAGGATCAACAGGGGACTGCTTCAGTCCCTTGCTGGCCCCAGGCTCCCCACAGCACTTTCGCCTTTGAAGTGTAGCAACAACCCTTACAATAAGCAATATATGGAAGTTATTTTCCAAGATATTTTGAAAAGATGTATACAAATTTCCTTATCAGATTCATTTCAAAATTTATTCTGGTTCTTTCTCTAATCAGAAAAAGGAAAGAATGGTAAAACGCCATGCTTTAAGGAAACCAAATATCTTTTTTACTATGTCACTAAAAGATTCCAGCCTGAAAACAGTCTTACCTTTCCTTCTGTCACCATTCGCAGTGTGTCTATTAATCTCAGTTTGATTGGTAGGTCTGTAATCTCCTCAACATAAGCACAGCACTGCTGGACCATTTTAGCAACTGCCTGGTACAAACAATGAAAACCAAAATGTTACTCTATTGTTAGAGTTCTAGAAGCATGCCAGAAGTATATTCTTTGGGCATTTGTAATAAAATGTTCCAATATAAAAACGATTAATATCGAAGTAAGTGGACCCTCTCCCAAAAAATGTGTGGTGTATTGGAGGGTCGGATATCACTCCTACACATGGCTGGCCCAGGGCATCTGACTCTGGCTTATAGAACACTAGCTAAAAAATTGCATCTAGACGGCTGGGGTCAGGCTGTGGGGCCCCCACCCTCGCATGGTCTCAAAACTTGGGCTTCGGACTGAGACCAAACATCGACAACAATTTTCCAACCTGAGCTCAGGGTCTGAGTTTTGGTCAGCTAACCCAGGCCAGCCAGAAGTTTTTTTTTACCTTCAGGGAAATACAACCTAAGTGAGCGAATGACCTTCCATCGAAAGATGTTACTGAAGTCAGGGGCTGGCTCAAGTCAAGTGGGATATGTCTGCATCACTTCTCTCAAATTTGTTATCAATTTATTTGTCCTGGGGATTTATTCTATCTATGCTTTTTCCTTGAAGAGCAGAATTGACATGGTCTTTTGCCAAGCTAGAAAGAGCTTCTATACTTGCTACTGGATTTCCAGAATATCAAAAGAAGTGTTCAGTATAAACTTTTCTTTGGGCTAAATAAATAGCGGGGTACACTGTCCCTTCCTTTTTAGTTCTGTACACTTCTAGAAAATATAGTTAATTTTGATTGATGTCAGCAAACCAGATTCAAATGCATGTGTTCTCACATGAAGCATAGGCCTGTGTGACCATGAAAAATGGCAACAGTTCTATTTAACATCATACATCACATGTAAACCAAAAAAATATCAATTCCATTCTTCGTTTTCCTCAGGAAAGCTTTGTTATTGTGACCTAATTACTGCATCGCTGTACTAATATATTCGTATTCCACTATGTGCTAAGTATTTTAAGTCCCTTTTTCATCTTAACACAAAAGGGGGAAAAAGTACAACTAAAGTTTTTGCAAACCAAAAATCTCTCTCCTTCCACACAGCTCAGTTTGCTCTGCTATCAGGCATAAATAAAAATAACATCTACATTTACAATCACAAAAATAGAATTGAGGCATGTAAATCTTCATAAATCTGAAGACAAGAGATGATCACTTATTAGGATCAAGCAGAAATCCATCTATCATATAACGTTAAATGCACCTGGCTATTCAGTACACCTTGCTATTCAATAAAGAGGTGGAGGTTACGACTTTGTCTGAAATAGCAGGTTTTGCACTTTTCATGTACTTTAAATCACTAACTGATTCATTAATTAAGCCTTGTTAAGAAAAGGAAGAATGATTGAAACACCCAGAGTTTAGGGAGGAAACAAGGTCAACATTTTGATATACATCTAAGTGAAAGCCACTAGTGATTCTGTTTCGTATGAACTAGATCATACTTGACCAGTGTAGATTAGCTTCTTTCATGAGACCTGAATAGCAACCAACATTTAGGCAATCCCAAGCATCAACACTTCAGAAACACTGAACATACAAGACTACCATATCAGTAAAGAACAGTTTAATCATATTTTCTTAGAGTGGAAACTGCAAAGAAAGAAGACATCCGTGATTAGGGATAAATCTCTTGGACAACACAACAAAGAATAGATAGACAATATATCATGGGTTTGCCCCAACTTTGGGCTGCTCAACAGAATTTCACATCCAACGCTAGGGCAACGTGTGGGGGAGGGCCTTGCACGTAACCATGAAGGTTAACCTATAAGCCCAGGTTCAAGTGGTTAACTGTTTAAACATACACATTATCACATCCCTAGTCCATATATGCATTTTCAATAGGTTAGTGTGGATGACAGCGGGATGAACTGTGCATACAAGCCTCCTTGAATAAGCCCATTAGAAGCTGCAACAGAGGCTGACATTAGTACATTCAAGATATTTTCAAACACACAGCACAGGCACTACACAGTGGAATTATAAAGGAAACATGGTATAGTTCCTTCCCAAACCTGTTTTAATTGACTTCTTCTCTTTGACAGAATAATAATATTTTCATTAAGAGCATCCCAATCTTTAGCTTCGTAACACATTTTTACTACAGCAATCAAGATGCGGGATGTGGAAACCATGTCAGAGGCCTGCAATAAACAAAAAGAGCATTAATGATTACATATACAACTTAAGCTACTGTGCTATTACCACTACAGAGCCTCGGCAATACAAAGACAAGAGCAATCCACTATAACTCTAGACCCACGATCTTGAAAAGAATGAGAAAATACAGCACAGAGCCAGACACCCCATCTGCTCCATTGACATCAATGGAAAAGAAGAACATGGCAGAGCTGGATACTCTAACTTCCCACTAGCACCTCTATTTACCAGGAAAAGGGTAACACACAACAGAACACCCCAGAAATAAACATGTTGCACAGAATAATCTACTCACTGTTCGTGTCTGTTTTTCCAAGGAGAGTAGCGTTTCAATGACCTCTTGAAGTCTTCCTTCCTAATATCAGGACAAACACTATTAGGACCAATATTGAAAAAACAGTACAGTTTAAACCAAGAACAGCTACATCTCTTAGAGAAAGAAAAGCATATAACAAAGTCATCAGGGTGAAAGACTAATTTCAATTAGGTTTATTTCTTTGAGAAGATATGAATAAACATGAATATATACTTGCATTTATATAGCACTTCTCATCTCTATATCGTTAAGTGCCTTATAAGGTTGTGTAAGTACCATTACCCTCATTTTATAGACGGGCAAACGTATACAGAAATTAAGGGTAGGAAATTACTAAAAGGGCTTTTGTTTTGAATACCTAACTTGGGACATCTTGGGTCTGATGCTTAGAGGTCATGACTACAGATGGATCGCACTGACTTCATTTAAATCGGTCACAGCTCAGTATTCCTAAAAATCGGGACTTTGTGTGTCTGAAACTTGGCACTCAAAAACTGAGATGCATAAAGTCAAAATACACTTTTGAAAGGGTCTGCTAAATGATTCACTCAAGATAACAGCTAGTCAGAGCCAGGAATACAACTACATCACTTGAGTCATGAACCTATTCCCTCTCACTCATATAAAATGTGTCTATGTAAATTTTAAAAAAATCCCAATTTCAGATGCTGCCTCAGGGAAGCCCCTTCCTCAAAACTGTACTTAGATGGGCATATTTAAACTTCCGTCACTTTAAACATAAATTGTTTGATGTAGTATACCAGTTTTTCCTGAAATTCACAAAACCATAGGGAAAACTACACAAATTCAGCACATCTTCAGTGGTATACATTTTCACATTAGGAACTAGGAGTTATGAATGATCTCAAGGCTGTCAAAACTATGATTATTTGAATGAGAGAGATTTTGAAAAGATGCCAGTTTAACAGTTTAACTGAAATTAAAAAAAGAAAAAGAAAAAGAGAGAAACAGAACACATTCCCTCAGCTAGAAACTGAACATAAATAATAATATAATGAAGGTGGGAACATATCTATAAATATGAAAAGTGTAAGCATATTCCTCCTCTCTCTGTATCTGTAAGCCTACATTACTTGTGTCTTGACAAGGGTGTGTGCTCAAGCTTGAGCACACACTAGATAAACCTGACAAATTCCTAAACTCAACCTTCTTACAAATAAAGATGAAAGAAAACACCTGTAATTTGACTTAGTTGCCCAAGTTCTAACCTAGGCTAGAACAAGATCACTTCACCAGCATTCCTCTGCATTTACACTAGGAAAAGAGTTGAGTTCGGACTACTTAAGACTAACTCTAAATAAATATAAATTCAGTTAGATATTGAGACAAAAAATATTGCAGCTACCCATCTCTCTGCTGATATTAAATGAAGCAAGCCAGAAGGCAGGTGATATGTGCCTGTGCTTCATGTACATCCTAATCATGAAAGTGCATGACTCATTGGCTACCGTGGACTATAGGTTGTATATTTTGTCCAGGGGAATATAAAGACCATTTAGAGCCAAAAACTTGATTTAATTTCCAAATAAATATTTTAGTGACACTTAATACAAACTTTTCTGTTAATAACAAGAACTGCAGCACTGGGTTACTTAAGCATAAAAACAGGACTCATTTTTAGATATTAGTAATACAGAAAATGAAATTTGCTTCCAAAAGTTATTTATATCCTGACCAAGTCCCTTCAAACTGTGTACCATGGCCTGTTTACTATATGCTCACCTACAATCACAGAATTAAACTGTACACTGACATATATGGCTTGTGCCTGACTACACTGCAGGAAACACCTTTGGTTTCCTAATTCTTGTATATCACAACTGCACACTTGTCATACATGGCATCAGTCCATTTCCCTCCCTATGAAATTTTGCAGCCTACACCTATTGGGAAACGGCAAGCTGTAGCATAAAGGCCTAAATCTGGATGCTCCAAAATGGGGGGTGGGAAGGAAGAATGATGACTCCGTGATATCCTGCATTAGGCAATCTGTGTCTGGCTATGTTGAAGTAGAGGGATTAAGAGGAGGTACAGGTGCATACACATGCGCACAGATGCACGCACCACCCTGATCCATGCAGAGATCGCTCCCTTCCCTGCACACACAAGCCTTAAAACATCCAGTGTCACAAGAAAACACTTCTGTTTGCCAGAAGATGAGTGCAGGTGACAGGGAATGACTCACCCAGCCTATTTCAGTTCATTCCCTCTGAACCACCTGGTATTGGCCACTGCAGCCAGATTGGCCACTGGGCTATATGGATCATTAGTCTGACCCACCATGGTCCTTCCTACCTGGTCCCCATCCTCCCCCAAGGATTCCATCAGACAGCGTGGTCTGTCCCTGCCTATCACTGCAGGCTTGAAGGGATTCTCTCTCTTTCCCCCTCTCCCCAGATCCCTTGTGTACCAGCCCGGTGTCCTTGGCTGCGCCTTTCGCTCCCATAAGCGGCACACACGTCACCCCTAAGCGTGCCTAGAGGAGGACAGGTCTCTGCCTATCTTCCCCCCGCCATGGGGCACCCTACAGAGCGCACAGCGCAAGGTGGAGAACACGGGAGCAATGCCCGGCCCGGCCCGGCGGCGGTGTGAAGCGGGGAGGGGCACGGCCCTGTCAGTGGCAGGAGATGGGACACTGCACAGATGGCTCGGGCCAGGCCCCCCCATCCCAGGCCGCCGGGCCCCCCGGCCCGCCGTGTCACCCCTCCCTGCTCCTCAAGGGGGGGGGGC